GGGGGGCGGGGGGGCGGGGGGGCGCCCGCGGGCGCGGCGTCTTTTAGGAAATACAAAACGCTGTTTTAAATAATTTACCAAAAAGTGTGAACCAAACGGTATGGCGGCGTTTTCAAAACGCCGCCCGCACTTATAAGCTGCCCCAAACGGGCCCTTAGGAAAGAGCTTGAAGATACAAAGTTATGTTGACGATGATATTTCAACTAAGGGTGTTACTCTTGAGAAGTTGAAGTTGTACTCAATTTCAACTAGTATTCTAGCTTAAAAACAAGAGCTTTGAGTTGTAGAGCTGGAGGATATCACGTTTGAAAAAAAAGACGACGCCGACAGTAGATAATGCAATCAGTGTCCTAGTCTCCAAGTGAGAGAATTGTTGCGTTTAGTGGAGCTTGTTCCAATGATCTATTAGCAAATTAATTAAATTGCTTCTTAATAAGATCTCCTCCCAAATTTAATCTCTCGCCTTCAGCAAAAGGAGAATCCGACCATGTGCTTTGCTCGCAAACCAAGTCCCACGTACCGCGTAAACATTTCTCCGCGTACAACAATTTCTTTCTTAAATGGGCTTTGCTAGCTTATTCTAAATAAGCTAATTGCAAAACCCATGAGATTATCTCTCCCTTCGGCTGAAGCAGCATGGGAGTAAATGGAAGTAAAAAAGATTTGCTTTTGTCTTGGATTTGTCTTTTTTCCATCTTTTTCTCACGTGGCTCAAGAGGAAGAGAGAGAGAGAGAGAGAGAGAGAGAGAGAGAGAGAGAGAGAGAGAGAGGGAGGGAGAGTTATTTCTTGTAATCATCCAGGTGATCTACGTGTGTAATCCTCAAACTAATAAAATCCTCTGCAACTCCGTGGACGTAGGCAATTTGCAAAACCACGTAAATCTGTGTGTTTCCGCAGTTCTTTTCTGGTTCGCGATTTTTCTCGATCCAGTTTTTCATTTTATTGTTGTCGTTTTTCACAACCCTTTTTTATTTTTCATGAAATTTATTGTCATGATTATACATGTGATAATGATTTCTTTTGATGCATCATAGTATATTCAACAGAAGCTCTCTTTAATTTTGTTCCTCAAATTGTAAATGTATAGCAATTGTGTGCCACGTATTCAAATGCCTTTAAATTGATGAGTATTATCATTTTTCGGTCGAGCACAGTGATGATTGGTCTGTAAAAAAAGCTCGTCGTTCACAAATAATCAAGTTCAATTCATTTATAAGGCAAGTGAGCTGAACACAAACAATATTTTTGAGCTTGATTTAAAAATAAGCTAAACAAGAGCATCTTATTTTTGCTCGAAATAGTTGATTAATTAAGAAAATATTTATTGACATTCTTTCATATTTATATTTGCATGTATTTAGAAAATAATAAATTTTATTATGTTTAAAACTTATTTAAGTGGATAATTATAATATAGATAAGTTATGTAAATACATAAAATTTGGGTGGAAGCTATGTAAATGTCCTAAAAACAACTCCAATGACTAAAGTATTAGGTGATAAATATGTAAATAAAAATATATTAAATGGTATATATGTAAATATTTTTGCCCTGTTGAAATTTGATTTATTGAGAAGCTCTATAAATCCATGAAAAAACAGCTTCGCCGGAAGGTAACTTGTAAAATAATTAAGAAAATTTTTATTTATTGAGTTTAAATTTGGTCGGTTCCACCGTTATTTTTATTCGCGCCAGCCGGAGAACATTCGGATTCCACGGCGGATATTCCCTTTTTTAGGGTTTATTCCGGTTCGTTATCCTGCACGAGCACCATAATGATCATAATGATCCTCATCAACAGCTTGCAGCTGTTACTAATTCTCGATGAACGTATCCCTAATGACTCGGTGCAGGATAGCATATAGCATTCCCTGTACAAACCGCAAGCACACGTGGCAACTATAGAACAGCCAAAATAATAATAGTAATTTAAGGGTTATTTAATTTGCTAAAAAGGTAAATGAAACGCAAAAAATATAGTAAAAATAAATATGATGTATTTCAAATAAATTTTGTTATTCATAAGCATAAAATGTATTATTTATATATACATTCACTGTACACGCTAAAAAGAAAAAATAGTATAAAACTCTTGAATAATGAAGAAAAAAAATATTACATCAGGACACCTGATGCATTCAGAGTCTAATGGTGGGGAACCACGTGTCAAGAGGACTCCACTGTTTTTAACTACGACCGATACCAATGTATTAGGGTGGGGGGCACTTGACACGTGACGCTCCACCATTAGACTCTGAACGCAAACTGTTTTAGAACTCCTGATATAATGTTCTGTACAATAACACAATGATTGGTTACATATTTATAGTGATTGTGCTGGCCGATGATTGTGTTACACAGAATATAGTGTATGCAGACATTGCTCAAATCTAAGAGATTTGAAATACGCCAAAAATGAAATTAAATGTAGGATTTGAAATTCGTTACAATTTTACATTACATTTATTTTTTTAAAATCAAACAATCAAATTTTACATTAATGTATTTGTAATTCAAACCATCTTATAGTGCATGCAGACATTGCTCAAATCTAAGAGATTTGAAATACGCCAAAAAAGAAATTAAATGTAGGATTTGAAATTCATTACAATTTTACATTACATTTATTTTCTTAAAATCAAACAATCAAAATTTTACATTCATGAATTTGTAATTCAAACCATCTCGGACTAAATCAAATAACCCATAAATTAATGCTCTTCGATATAAAAACTACTCAAAATTTTCTTTTGAGACAACTTATCGTATTTATATATTAAGCATAATCAAGTAAATATAGTCTTAAGATTGAATCAATAAAATATAAATAATCATGAACTCAATTCTAAATATCCACAAAATTAAAAAACGTTTGACTTTAATATAATTGAGAATTTTATCAACTAAAATAATTGATACTTTTCTTATCACAATTAATTAGAAATTTAGGGTGTGTTTGAGACAGTTTGTGCTTATCCAGATAATCAGTTTATCTTGAAATGTTGCGTTTAGTGTAAAAATCTAATCACATTTTCAGATAAGCTACCGAAATGTATTTTTCAAACGGTGAAGTGACGTTTTGAAAACGTCGCCCGCACTTATAAGCTGCCCCAAAAGAGCTCTTAATCAAAAGAAACAATTTTGTTTAATTATAGACCGATGATTTCCATCACGTGAGCTTTCGATGGAGGCTCAAATGTCGCAACCATCCCTATTTTGATGCTGGAGAAAATGTCAACCAAAATACAGTTTCGAGATATTAAAGCAAAAAAAGGAAATAATACTTCTTAGTTATTATAATAAATAAATAATTAAGATATGCAAATTATTTATAACCCTCCAAAGCTAATGGCAGACTGCGGCTAATAAGCTCCAAAATACTCCGCAGAGGGCGCGTATTGGAATCGAAAAGTGCGAGGTGCGAGGTGCGAGGGCTCCAGAATAGTTAGGGATCTGCTTTGATTTGGTGCAAATTTTAGTCGTAGGGTTTGCGGCGGGGTTATTCAGATTTGGAAGGAGGGCGATGCAAACCGAGGCGCGGGTAGGGATGGTGGTGGAAGGAGGAGGGCAGAGGAGTTTCGGCGCCGTCCATAGCTGTGCGGCATCCGCCGCCAAAACGGCCGCCGGTGAGCTTGCCGTGAACGGTGCTGCCGCGCGAAAGTATTCCGCACAGCGCCACTCGCAGCTCGAGCAGCAGCCACAAGTTGGGGCTCTGTCGCATCTTCTCGCCGGAGGTCTTGCCGGGGTCGTCAGCAAGACCTGCACGGCTCCTCTCGGTCGTCTTACCATTCTTCTCCAAGTAATCTCTGCGATTTTTTTTTTCCTGAAGCTATGGAGGTTATTTCCTCTGTTTGGTTAGAATTTTTGTTATGTGTGGTTCTATTTTTCAAAAGTTTTATTTTTATTTTTTTGACACCATCGGACATCGGATTTGCCTGACTATTTGGTAAATGTGGTGTGCAGCCGACATTAATCATCAAATGCTTGTGATGTAAGAATTCATTGAATGACAAAGGCTTCCTGCTTTTCATTCAACATTCTCATCATCTCCCTTTTCTTCTTAGATAGTTTAGAAATCAACTTTTACTTTTTTTTCTTATGCCTGAATTTTGATAGTATGAACATGGGCGAGATCTAGCTAGGGTTTGCAAATGTACTAAATTGCCTAATCTGGATAATGAAAAATATCAAACTTTACTACATATATAGAGAAGTCTCAATTTTCAGGGGTGGGCAAAATCTCAATTTTCAGGCCGTGCAATTGCCCACCCTAAACATAAACTGGTGCTGCAAAATAGGTTTTTTTCCCCCAAACATTTGGCAAGGTTTTTGAGTTCCCAGGAGCCACAACAACATTAATCACTTGTATATGTTGGTCATTTGATTTTGTAGCACTTGGTAGGGAGTTTGGGGCGAAGACGAGCATAATATATTGCTGGTTTATTTTGCATTTGACCCTAATTTTGGTAAAGGAGTATAAAAAACCTTGTAGGTCAACTCAACTTTTGTTTAATCTATTTTATTTGGTCAGATTGGATGCAAACCTCATACCTCGATATGCAATAACACTAGCTAAATTCCTGTTTTGAACAAGGATACTTTTCCACATTCAGCTTATTAGCAATAATAACTCTATAAATGTAGCATTCATATTCAATCTGTTTATCAGAAACATATAATTGAAGCGGTGGCACTAGAACACATTTTTGACAATTGGAAACATGCACAAGGCCACTAATGCCAGTTTCTCTGCGTTTGGCTGGATATGTGGAAGTGTAAACTTTGAACAATGTAGTTTTGTAAGGTCTAATGCTCAAATTGCTAGCTCACTTGTTTGTACAAAGCATTTCGTACTTCTTCGTTACTTTCATTGCTAGCTTGATGTTAGTGATAGTGTAAGTGGGGTTTAACGACCTTATCATTTATTCATCCTAATATATAGAGAACACAATGACATACTTTAACGACCTTATCATTAATTCATTAAATTTGTTGGAATTGTAAATGTCTGTATCATCCTTCTCAATTACTTTTCTATTTTTTTTTGAAACCATCATGAACCATTGAATTTTTAATATGAGCATCACAATATGAAAATGAAAAAAAAAATCCCATATTCTGATAATCTGACTCCTAAATAATGACTGCAAATTTTTAGCAGCTAATTCATTAATTGTTTCATTATCTAGATTCCAGGGTGATTTCACTAACATTTTTTAAAGATCAATGAATTGTAAAATTCATTAATAGCCTCAGAAATCATTGACCTTATGTGCAACAGATCTATATCATTAATAAACCTTGATTGAAATTGTCAATCATACCTTCATCATGTTTGGTGAGGAACGTTTAACCTACCATTTGGTTTGAGTTTTAGCCCTTAACGAGAAATTCTTTTTAACTTACATTAAATTCTTAGGTTTCTCTTTCATGGATTCCAAAACCCTAATACACTTTTCTTCAAAGGTGAATCTAGAAATATTGTGATAGTTTAAATATATTGATATCATTAGAATGTCAAACTATAAATCTTCAAACATCATGAATGGGTGCTCATTTACAATGATCATCATAGCAAAAATATTTTTTTATCCTATTATGATCAAAGCTAATGGTACAATTAATCCATTCTTCTTAAGGTTCCCAGTGATTGGATCAAAGTGTTTATGCTTTTTTCCTCTCATGATTAGCTTTTTTGTAATGATGAATCATGAAATGCCTGCCCATTAAAATGTTACAGTTTTTTGCTTCCCAACTTGTCACAATGATTGCATTTCCATTTTTGTAGTCACTTTCATTTTCTTTATTAGAAATCCCATTTCAATTCCAAACTGTTGACCTACATTCACCTTCTCTATTATAGTAACTTCTCCCACTCTATCAATCTTTATTATTTTATTGTCAGTACGGGGATGGTTTGAATTATTGCCACATTGATTTTCGAATAAGTTGATATCACAAGAAATAGACATTGTATCACTCTTGTTAATATTGCATTATATAAAAGTTATAATGACAACAATATACAAAATATTGAACTATTGCATTGCAAAGATTACAATCTAAGAAATTTAAGAGCTTGAAACTAACATAAGATTACAATTGAGTGCTTCTATTTTTGCATTGCAAAGATTACAATCTAAGAAATTTAAGATCTTGAGACTAACATAAGATTACAATTGAGTGCTTCTACAAGCTCATTAAGCAACATAGACGGTAGAGCTAAAAAAAGTAATGCTATAAACTAAGGCAAATTAAATATGTATCGTCATTGCAAAATAGAATAAAAGAACATCTTAGAATTAGTATAAACCAATAAAACAAAAAGTCATAACTACATAAGCTAAGCTACTACCAAAGTATTTTCTTCTCTCAACTCAAATTAAAATAGTGACAAAAAAAATAATTTAAATGGATTTCACTAGTCATTGATTATAAAAATAACTCATATAAGTGATCCCCTTCTTTTTTAATTTTTATTTTTTCCCCTTCTTTAATTAGAGAAATAAGATGTTTAACGTAAAAAATAAAATACTCATTTTATAAGTCAGTTGAACACATTATCTGGGGCTAAGGATTTTAAATAGTTTTTAGCCAAAAATGACATGAACATAGCAAATAAGTAATCAAGCCTGTGAGCTAAGAAGTTATTGAACTTCTTAACAAATAAATTTGAGCAATCTAAACATGCAGTTAATCAGTGAGAAACAAAATAATAGAGCATCATAATCTACCAAAATTGAGATAGCATTCAAATCATAACTAACTAAGCTCAGGGTTCATTTGGGATAATTTTTCACATCTTTATTATATGGACAGTTGACGCACTTCTATTAGGCCACAGCTTTCTTTTTTGCATTTTAGTGTTTCTTTTTTCTTTAATGGCAACAAGCGGCTTTTCTTAATGAGATATGCTAAAGTATAATGGCTATTAAGTATTAGTTGGCTTAGAAGTGAAAAATCTATAGTGACCGCAATAACTTTCAATGCTTTGTAGGGTGTAATTTTTTCATGATTTATTTACAGACAGTTACAGCCACCTCTTATGAACCCTAAGCTACTAAAGAGAAATTATTTTCCATTTACAACTTATATTAATATTGATAGAAGCAAAGGGGTTAAGAGGGATCTCACCCGCAACTTATTATAGAAATAACTCAATTAAGTGATCCTCCTTTTATGCATAATAAATGACTATATGAGATACATTACCACAAAAGCTTCACAAAATAAGTGATTTATTCTTAAAAAAAAGAGTTAGTGAGAGAGTTGAGGGTTGAGACGAGAGAGAAGTGAGGAAAGTGCATAAGATGATTTATCATCTATGAGAAGAGGAGCTGGGGAGATGAGGGCAATGAGAAGGATTAACTTTATGCTAAAATTGGAGCCTTTTATTAAATAAAATGGGCAATTATTACTTTTCATCACTATCACCATCGGATTTAAAAATACAATTGATTAAAAACAAGAATTGATTTTTAGCAAGATTCAAACCCAACACCCTTACACAAAGAGGCAACATAAGATAGACTTTAACAATTGTGCTAAGCAAAAGCGACTTTTAAAAGTTTCCTTAATATACTTTTATGCATGATATTATTAACTTTTTAAAAAAATTGCATCTTGACTAAATCTATAAAAAAATTGCATCTTGATCTAATTCTGTGCCAGATAAATTGGCATATAGCTCACTGGATTAAAAATTAACTGTTTCCATAAATTTGGCTCATTTTCTTTGTCAGAGCTTAATCTAAGCAAAACACCAACTTAATTTTCAAGCACGCTTTGATCTCTGAGCAAGCTTCAAACTTCAGCTCTAGTGGTTTTCATCCTGCTTTAGAGATCCATTTTTTTGTCAAACCTTAGGATGCATTGTATGTACGACAATTTGATAGCTTGGTTGCAACTTCATTGGCCCAAATCTAGAAGTAATCTCTTTATTAAAGCTGGGGCAAGATTATGTACTCGAACCCCTCTCCATATAATGCTATAGGTACGAGCCTTGTGCTTGAGTAGATTGCAGACTAAAATATAATTGCAATTTGTTTGTTTGGTCAATTGTATCGGCCATATGTGAATTTGCTTAAAATTCTTTATTTTTGCTGGTCAATCTAATGCCCCTTTTTTACTTTTTTTTCAGGTGCAGGGCATGCACTCTAATGCTGCAATTTTAAAAAAGGCTAGTATATTGCACGAGGCCTCACGTATAGTTCGTGAAGAAGGATTTAGAGCCTTTTGGAAAGGGAATTTGGTTACAATTGTGCACAGGCTTCCTTATTCCTCCATCAGCTTCTATGCATATGATCGATACAAAATTGTACGTGCGAAAACTTGTAGATTAAGAGTGCCTCATCAGTTTCCAAATTGCTTTATGATGCATTTTGCTTTTTATTTCAATGCCTCTTTATCTCCTGAAATGTTCATTTATTCTGCTTATATTTCTGTTAGTTGCTTCATTTGCTTCCTGGGCTGGAAGAAGGCAATCAATATGGAAGTACTGATGTTTTTGTTCGGTTATTGGGTGGTGGTTTGGCTGGAATGACAGCCGCATCTTTCACATACCCATTGGACTTGGTGAGAACTCGTCTTGCTGCACAGGTAATTTGTCAAGAATGTCAAATGCATTTATTTTTGTATTCCAGATATTTGATCTTCTTAGCTCCTTGTGCTTTTAAATGTTTTAGCTGAATGTATAAATATGTTCCATGAGTTTTTGAATGTGAAGCTAAATGCTTAGCCATGAGACAATTTCTGCAGCAATCTAAAACTTCTATTTTATCTTCTTTCTAAGAACTTACAACCTGTTTGGGATCATTTTTATTTTTTATTGTTATTTCATTTTGTTGATATTTTGATTCGAAATAAAATCTTTCTGATGGTGGCGGGTGTTTTAAAAATACTCATAACACTGAAATGCTGGTTTGAGTGTTTTTTTAAAACAACAAGTTCATTTGTTTTTAAAAACAAAATATTATAACTCTTAAAATATATACTAAATAAACTTACTTTTTAAAACAAAAAATAAATAAATAAAACAAAGAATGATTCCAAATAAGCCCTTAGTTTTTTCTTTGACATTATAATCCACTGATACCTTTGGTCCTCTACCAACTAAATCCTTTTATTTTGATTTCAAATAGTGTTTGATTTGCTTATTACCATTTGTGTATTATGGTTGCTACTTGCACTTTTTATTACTGGATCTGGATCTATTTGAAGGTTTGATTCAACTTAAATCCTTTGCGTTTGTTAATATCTATCATGATCCATATGTTTATCGAGAATGATTTCCATCTAAATGCATTTCTTTTATTTTAAATTTAATGTAACAGTCTTGAGTTAGTCTAATCTTAGAACCCTAGAGATATGTGACCTGGAAACAATACTAGGGCATCCCACAAGCTTTTTGAGACTGATTGTTAGGATTTGACTTCATATTTTTTGTTGAATATTCTAGTTGGTGAACTTGTAGGACTTCAAAAACTATTAGAAAGACATCACTGGCTGAATTTTTATATTATTCACTAAAATATGCAAATTCATCACTTTGTCGTTTGACTCTTTTCTAGTGGGTTATAATAGTTATCTTCAGGTCTTGTAGTTTATGGCTATGAAGAATCTCATATGGATCAAAATTATTATTGGGTAGGGTATTTGAAAAGTGCTAGGTGCGTGGTTGCAAAGCATTATGAAGGGCCCATAATTTTTGGTAGGTGCTAGGAAGGAATCAGCGAATTATAGATGGGAGCAAGAAAGTGTTCCGTAGATGGTCTCATAAATATTATAGTTAAGGTTTGAGTATATTATATCAGAGAGAGTGAGGAGTTTGATGAAGATAGTTAATTTCTCTTTAGCTCATAGTTCATATATGGATGTCCGTGTTTTTATGTTTGAGAGATGAGCTGGTAGGGGGGGTATTGACTAGTGTTCATGATTGATTAGATCATGCATTAGTTTCCGGTATTACTTGTATGGGTAAAAGTTGTGATGTTATTATTAAATATACGACATTGATCATAAGAAACTCAGGTATCTTCCAAAACTACATCCAACTATAGTTTTGGAAATTCTCCGCTTAAGATTAGAAGTGTATATTTGACGACAAAAGTTTAAAAAAAAATGTTGATCTATTGAAAGAATGAAGAAAAAAAGCAAGTTAACAATTAGGAAGATTTGCATACCTAACACCTAAACTTCAATTTTTACTTGCATACCATCTTACCTATATATGAAAGGTGTATTTTGTTTTTTTTTAATTTAAATAGTGGTATTTTTGATGTCTTATGAAAGATTTGGGTGGTATAAATGTAAAAAATAAAGTTTAGTCATTTTTATGTAAATACATAAGAATTGGATGGAATGTATGTAAATGCCCCCCAACAATTTATATATCTGATTTTGTGGGATTACATTTTTATAAAATTCGAAGGATATTTTGGCATCATGTTATTCTGAGATTGGAATCATAAGCCATGTAGGTTAGTTGTAGATCTTGTATAATTATGTGAAATTGATGGGTTATTTTTTAGGATAAATGTCACCTAGTTTGTCAGCCACATCATACTTTTCATGGGCCCATATTTTTAAAAGCACTTCATTTTGGTCCTTCAAAGTTACTTCATTTTGGTCACTATCACAATTGCTCTGTTAATTTTCTCGATTAAATTTGATCAATGGACCTTGCACTCAGTTACTTATGACATTCTTCATCAAGAGAATGATCATGTATCCTTTTACCCATCATCTCTGATCTATGTCCCTTAGCTCCATCTACTACCACGCCCTCTCCCGCCTCCTGTGTTGATGCTTATTTTTTTTGTTGAGTACTACTACCACTTCATCCACCATGGTCAACAACTCATTCACGCCTAGAACTACACCTCCTTCGCCACCTCCACCCTCCTCTTCCTCACCCTAGCCCTTTTTTCCACCAACTCTTCTTGTCTCACGATCACCACCATTCTTCTGGAACTGTTTTATTCCATCCTCAAATCCTTTGCTTCTAACCTCAACAACCACTGCTTCACATCTGCATTGCCACACTACTCGAGTGCTCTGATATTTACCTCAGGCTTACCAACAGTGGTGAACATATGCATCCCCAATGCCTTGATAACACATTTTATGACCTTGAGGAAGCCAACTCGCTTTGTTAAGGGAACCAAAATATGAAGAAGGCTTCAAACACTAAAGCAAGCATTGGTTTCCTTGATTCTGTTACACATTCAGGGGTAATTTAGATGTTGGGTCTCTGTAATCAGAAAGTAACTTAGGAGACGTGTGTATTTGTTATCGGATAGTTTGCAACAATGGTGTTTTTGCTAGCGTGATTCTTTTACTGAAAATGCACTCACAATTATCTAGACTAGCGACGTGCTATAATATTTTCATGGTATTTTTTATAGTAGGCATGTTAAGTTGTTAAGCAGGGATGAAAAAACCACAATCAGGCCGATATAACATTGATAAATAACAAATTAGCGAGTCTAAAAAAATAAATAAATAAAAAGGCACTGTAACATTTACCTGTGGAACAATTTTACATTATTTTGGTTATAGTGAAATCAAGTGAGAGGTGTCTTAAATTAATTTGTATTAATACTTTCTTGATGGAAGGTAGAAATATATTATAGCAAGAGATATTATTACTTTGCAGACAAATCATGCGTATTATCAAGGCATCTGGCACGCACATAAGGCTATTTGTAGAGATGAGGGTGTTCGGGGGCTGTATAAAGGTCTTGGAGCTACTTTAATGGTAAAATAATCTACTTGGCTGATTCCAGTCATGATTATTTATGTATTAATTGGCTAGCAACTGCTTGTAATCTACAGGGAGTAGGCCCAAATATAGCCATCAGCTTTTCGGTTTATGAGACTTTGAGATACAACTGGCAGATGCGAAGGTGACCGTTTGCTTTCTCTTAGCCGTCATAAGTTTTTATTATATTGAAAATATTCTTCATTCATTTGCCTTTGTAGGTGGATGAGTATTTAGGAACATTTAAATTGATTTTTGCCTTTCAATGCCAGGCCAGAGGACTCTAACGTCTTGGTTAGTTTAGCTTGTGGAAGCATTTCTGGAATTGCTTCGTCAACAGGTAATTTCTCGCTTTTTTTTTTTTTTTTGCAGGAACCTACAGGTAATTTTCTCACTATTATTTAGTGGTGATCATTCTATTGTACACGAGATGAATTTTGGTAAATTATAGAAGCGAATAAAGTCAATTATAGAGTAAGATTACAACAGGATTTACAGCTACTGATTATTTTATGTGCGTCATGAAATGAATTTTGATGGTAAATTATTGAAGTCAGCGAAATGAACTATTTTCTTTGTTTGAATAGTTTGTATTACAACTTACTCGCTGTATTGACTGTCATCATTATCATTAGCCTAATCCTAGTTTATAAAACCGTATTTTCCATTTATTCTTGCCAATGCTTATATTATTTTGTTTCTTGGAAATAGCTTTTATTGTTTTTTTATATTGCTTTCATTTGCAGTCCATATAATTGGCTCAATTAATGTCCAAGTCTTCTAGTTGTGGAAAGTTTAAAAAAATGATATGTTCACTGTTCCCATATATCACTGGCCGACCACTAAAGATTTTTATGAATATGTCTCTACCATTGGGATTTTATGTAATGTTTCTAGCTAGTTAATGTCTCTGAGTTTTCTATATTTTTGAAATTAATTTTTTTTAATACCAGCTTAATCTGCCACTTTTGCTCTCAATCTACATCTCTGGATATATTTTGATGTTTTTTTTAATCTTCTGAGCCATGCAGTGACCTTTCCTTTAGATCTTGTGAGACGGCGGATGCAATTGGAAGGCGCAGCCGGTAGAGCTCGCGTCTACAAATCAGGCATTTTCGGAACATTTAAGCACATCATGCGCTCTGAAGGCTTTCGCGGCTTATACAGGGGTATATTACCCGAGTACTCCAAAGTTGTCCCGGGTATTGGGATCGCTTTTATGACTTATGAAACTCTGAAATCCCTCCTATCAGGTTCTTTTGGAAACAGCTAATGCTGTGATTTTTTCTTTGCACACCATTACATGACCATATTCATGGCTGATATCTTTTTTAGACAAATGAGTTTTTACAGATTGCCTGAGAAAATCTATGGTGGCAGATTTTGTAGTTGCTGCCACAATTTGACTTTTTGACTCCTTATATAGCCGTTATTGATTATCCAGCCCGACGAGAAAATTTGCTGATATAGATTATTGATTTGCTGTAATTTTTACGCATACTTATGTTGACATTCCTTTCCATCTTCATTGTTTATTCATTGAGTCGATCCTTTGGTGCTGTTCAGCCTTCATTATTGTAACTCAATTTGAGAACTTTGTTGGCATATATAAAATCTCATAACTCTTATACTTCTGTTCAGTGATGTTACAAATTTAAAAAAATTATTCTAATTAAGCATGTCGGCCAAATCAGAGCTGTGCAAGTTCTATGCTTCGAAATACTAACAATTTATTTTGTGTGTTATTATAGTATTCTGTTATCAAGTTGTACCTGGTTTGAAACTAACAAATTTTGAATGTTTCAATTCAATGCCAAAGAGTGCATCTTTTGATGGAGGTGTATTATTGGTTTTATTTTTGAGATTTGGTAATTGATGTTAAAAAAACTGTTTATTTTGTTTATTTTTTTTTTTTGTTGTTTCTTATGTGCATTTATTTGTGGTTTATTATTATAGGAATTTATGTTGCAATGTGTACTTCTATGTGAGATATGATCATATATATATATATATATATATATATATACATACATACATACAGAGAGAGAGAGAGAGATATTTAAAGCATGTCCAAAGGCTATTATACGAGCCCCCAACCAGCCTCATGTGCTTAACTATTTGAGGACCACTCTCATTACCGACAAACCGGTCAGAGGGGGATTCAAACTCGTGACTTAAGAGAACTTGCGTCCTTCAAAGAGGCTGCTCTACCAACATGTCACGACTGACAACACGTGATCTCTCTCTCTCACATGCACACACACACAAATATATATATATATTTGTTGATTTTTTCTTTTTTTGTGTTGTAATAGGTTCCAGGAAGTTGAGAAATATAAAATATTACCGAGAGAGAATTTTGGGAGTTGCAATTGCTGACTTTCAAGGCCTTCATAGTTTTGTTTATTGAAGGCTTTCATTTTGTAATTAACGTTTGAGAGTATATTTTTCGGTTACGAGCATATAGATTTATATTCTGGTTGGTGAAGTTTGTCTAATGTTTTGGTCATTGTTGTTTTATGGGTGGCATGGCATAGTATTATTTTTATGTTTTATTAGTAAAAAGGAGTGATTCCACATTCTAGCTTGTTTTCTTGTAACAAAATAATAAACCATTAGGTTGGTTTGATAGCATTAAGCTTGCTTATGAAGCCTGAGTTGATAAGTCATTATATTGTTAAGAATCAGTTCTAAGATTTCATCGATTAAATTAAAGAGAAAATTAGATACATAGCACCCAAATCTTATGGATTTACGTATCTCACACCTAAATTTTCATTTCTACACAACATTTTACCTGTGAATGAAAAGATGGATTTGATTTTTAAAAGGTGATAAAAAGTGTTATTTGTAATTATGCAAATTTTGGTTTGAGATAGATAAACATAAAAGTTTTGGGTGCTATGTATTTGAAATCCCCTAAATTAAATCGTCTAAAGATAATTGATATTTATTACAAAATGAAGGTGATGGAAATAAGATAACTTGTTAATGAATATGCTAATTGAAGTTGTCAAAATTACTCATCTTGGTCTGAAAACTTACTAAGGCATATAAAAGCTAATTTGTTAGCTCTTTATGAATTTCACAAGATACATAATTCTCAAAGATTCATCCCCCTAAAGCTTCTCATGAAATATTTATGTATTTTGATAGTTAAAATATAGATAAATTTATTCATTTTTCATCTAATATTTATTATTATTATTTTTGCTATTTAACTTGAATGAAATCATTATTTTAGCATTACATTTTGACTTAAATTGGCACATATGAGGTTAGACTTGAGGTTGGCGCACATGAAGGCATATCTTAACATTATTTTGTATTTTCCAATATTATAGTGAAATCTTTATGTTTTTGTGCACTTACCTGTGACATAGTTGAACGTGTAGTTTTCTATTATGAGATTACGGATTTAAATAGTACATATTGTCTTTTAGTTTGCCTTTCCCACAAAAAAAGTCTTCGTTCCTTATTTACATTATATTTCTTTTTTTTTTCCTATAAGTTATGATTTTGATTTCATCAATGAATATATTTGAATCCAATCTTGTTTTAAGTATTCATGATGCTTACGATGAGAGTCTGAAACATCCTTTAAAAAGACTATCCACTTACAGAATTATAGAACTTTGTTAGTTATTGGCCAACTATTGAGTCAATTGGATGTTGTATAACAAGAGTGGTTTAGAAAATTTTTGAGCGGGTATCAAGGGCAACCCCACATATTTATTTATTTATTTTATCCCTCATGTTGAAATTCCTGTTCAAGGTAAAGCTAACTTCCATACGTAGACTACAACTAAGCTTCAAAGCACATGCCTTGACTATAAAGTTTAATAAGACATCTCCTTAAAAGAGTACCATGCAAACATCTTTCTCATCATATTGGAAAATGCTGAACTCAACCATTCAATATATTTTCAACTCAAATAGCAAAAACTTCACCTCCATTAAATTTTAAAATGTTTTCTTGAAATTAATTTAAAAAAATAGATCTAGTTGATCACATCATCAAATAATATCACATTATTAATAGTGATGCTTAGAAATGTCAACTACTTTTCATGACATTTAGCAAGGCACCAATACCATGATTCTCAAAACTTATAAAAAACTTGCTAATTTTTGAGAAATCCATTGATTATATGCCGCAATTCTTTAGCTTACAGAAGTTGAAAAGTTTTGTAGGTTTTCTTGAATGAGGCAAAAATTTGAGAAACTCTCCACACTTTATTATTAATTTTCAACTAGACATGTGGATTGCCAAAGATTAAGAACATGTAATGGTTCGGGTTATAGTCACTCAAGGTCTATATAGAAAGTTTTTAGTTATGCACTCAATTTATAATTACCAAAGGCTTTGATTGGGTTATTGAAACTCCATGAAAGTCACATTTAACATGAATAGTACAAAAATATGAATAATTCTACTTTTGGCTTTTAATATTTTGAAGTTGCACAAATTTTGTAATGATTACAATAAATTGGGTTGAATATATACCATGGAGACGTCAACTCAACAGATACAAGAATTTACCATAGTGACTAATGCCAAGATTAACATCTTAAACACTAAAATAAAATATTGAAGCCCTCCGCCTTACCAATCTCTAAAAAGGTAAGTTATTTATAGAAATAAATATTCTACATGCACACTTTTAAAATAGCCTATGCAAATTGGTAATGCTATTCAAAATAAGGTATAACTTTGTTGACCTCTTCTAATGTATAAACTAACTTATTTCGAAGGCCTTCAAAGTATTATATTTTTTTTATAAAGATCACAACCATGATGCAAAACTAACATCATTGTGATCTTAGTGAGAAACTCATCAAAATTAGAAGCATAAAAGTTTCATCTACTAAAATCTTAGATGTTATTTTGGAGATAATGGCAAAGAATTCTGAAATTAATTATCTCCAACATAAGTCATAGAAATAACTTGAACAGTTACATCAAAATCTACTGTGAAATTAAATTATGGAAAAAGTACTTTTAAAAAAAATTGGAGTTTATTATTTCTTAAAATTAAATAGCAAAAAATTTAAACTTTTAAATTTTTATTATAGCAAAATAACAACAGAAGTTTGATGATTTTTAATTAGAATTTTTAATGTTACTTAAATTTAATGGATCACTTTTTTTGGAAACAAAAAGATATATTAGAAGAATTTGTTCCCAAAGGACTTGGTGAACTCATCCCATGATAACTTTTGGACTAATCTTGCAAGGACTTAGGATACTCGTCTTGTTCAAATTTAACCTAGCAAGTTAGATGTTAGCAACTTATATTAAGAATTAAGAAGAACTTAAAATGTGAATGCATAACCTATTAGTCAAATAAAAGGTCTATTAAATTAAGCTAAATATCAGAATAGTGTCAGTTTGTGGTCAAATTTAATAATTGTGGAACTACTATTTACAAAAAAAAATGTCTCCCAGGAGGATGAATTAGTGACTAATGACTCCTCAAAGATAAATATATCATCAATATCTTATAAAATCTCCTATTTAAATTATAGTTTAAGTTTATTCTTATGTGCATAAGCATGCTCAAGATTAACCATATCATTCAAAATCATGCACCAAACAAGGTAAGGACAATTAATATGGTAGATTTGGGATTGAAGTGACTAAATGGAGAAATGAATTGAGCATTTTCATTTTCTCTTTGCACCAATTTAGTTTGTTTTAAAATATAATTATAATTTTATTTTATAGTTGTAAACTAATGGAGAGAGTTCGTGAAATTTTAAAAAGATAAAGAACAAACAAGATACGACTAATAAAGAAAACTATATTGATGATACAAGTATGTGTCATGATCACATACACCTATAATAGCCATGCATACATTAGACTCAGAAATGATTTTCAAGCATAAAATTAACTATTCTGTTTTTCTTAAACAAATGAGGCCAAGCTATCTTTTCATAGTACACTAAAATAATTAAATTTGTTCCATTCATAACTTGTAACTAGCTATATGTTGGTTTTTGGCCACAAATCTCCAAGTTACAAATATATTATTTTATCAACGACTGTTTTTTTTCAATTTATTCATATTTATAGCCTTGACTTATGTCAACATGTAAGCTTCAAATCAAAATTTTCCTCTCTAATTGCATTGCAGGACCTTGCACGCATTTTTTATCTCATTACTTAGTTTGCTCTGTTGGGATATACAATCATTAATTTAAACATATTTAGGTGGTTAGAAGGTGTCCATTATCCAAAAGAAATAAGTCATGCCATCCATCTCCGCATGAACGACATAAAAGAGCAGTATTTACTAAAAAGTCTCTTCTTCCATCTGAAAATTCTTATATTGATTATTCAAGGGAATGTAAGCTCCATTTCTTGGTTTAGTTGATGCTTAAGGAGGATCTTCATGACCTTGTAGTTGATGATGAATAATCTCACTTTTTTTGGGGTAATTTTCACTTCATAATTTATAACCCTCACATTTCTACATCGCAATTGACTTTATCTAGCCCAAATTTATTGACTCTACTTTCAAGATCATCTACAATGAATTCAAATACATGAATAATCATGTTAAATCCATATTAATCATCGAGCTTCCCATTGAAGATATAATTAACTAAAAGAGTTTCAATATATCTATGAAGCTAGATCCCCTATAACCAAATTAAAACTTTTTTGATGAGATATGCATTAAGTGGAAAAAAATTCATTTTGATTGCAAATGTTTTCATCTTTTTAGTTAATAACGACATTCACTCTCTATCTTGTAAAAATATATTTCACTTTCTCTGAGATGCACTCGAAAGACAAACATATATGACTTAGCATGCCTTACATTAATTTCCCATGTTAGAGTAAAAGATCGAAAATCATTTATATCACCGAGGAACTTACAAACCATGTCTTTTAGGCTCTCTCTTTGCATAAAACTCTTTTGAAGCTCATAAAACTCTTTGCTTTACCATAGATAAAAGACTTCTATTGACGGTAGCACCATGAAATGGGGTTGGTACATTTTGCTTTTGCTAATGTGTTACATGTGATGTAATTGTAAATACTATTACTCAATACAATTTATGTTAATGAATTCTATCTTCAAAATTGTACTAATGTAGTGCGTAAATTGTACTTTAAGATGTTTTTTTCCATTGCAACTTTAAAAGAAACTCCATGCCATTTAAACTCAGGTAATATTAAATCAAAACACATTTACTGATTTATAACAAACTCAAATTCACTTTATAATACTTTTTTATTTTATATTTAATAATAAGATCATGCCTATTCACTACCACAATTCAAACACCTCATCATTCGGTTTTTCCAAACACCTACACTCTAATTTTCTTAATTCATTTATACTAATTTTATTTGAAGCAATGGCATGTTTTTCTCAAGATATTTACATGCATACAACACAATTCTTTTGTATTTACATATTTAATACCAAAACATTCCTATTTACTTATATAACACCGTGACTAGGGCTGTCAAAACGGCTCGTTGTTCGCGAACAACTCGTGTTCGGCTCGTTAATTTTGTTCAATAACTAAAATGTGTCCGTTCGTGTTTGGCTCGTTTTGACTCGATATATATATATATTAAGTAGTATTTTTTAAAAAAATCTAATTGACTATAAGGCTACAAAGATTTATAATCAATTAAAATTTTGATTAAAAAAATAGAATAAAAATTATTAAATTAGATTCAAATGATGTTTCAATATAAATAATAATTTTTAAATCTTGCTCAAACTCTTATTGTCTTATGACTACATGATTATGGTAGTTAAAAAGACTCCTTGTTCGTGAACAGCTCGTGTTCGACTCTTTAAGCAAACGAGCCGAACACAAACACACTTTTTGAGCTCGAAATATAAACGAGCAGAACACGAGAGCTCGTGTTTGGCTCGTTTACACCCCTAAACGTGACATAATCACATTAAAATATAGTCACAAGAAAGTGTATTTTATTTTAATAAAAAAATAATATTAATGACATTTTTACGCAATGCTAAAGAATTGAATGTTATATAAGTAAATAATATAGATGTAAATACATAAAGAGTAATGTGATGAATCAACAGAAGTATAAGAAAAATAATCCAAGCGATTGCATAAGGGTACTTATCCACAAACACTTCCTCTTAGAGGAACTTATTATAACAGCTAAAAAGAATGTTAAATTCAAAGCTAGGTAGAGCAAGAACTACATTACTATATATAAGAACTTGAAGGGATTCAGATGGGAAATCTTCCTGTATAGCGAATATGGTCCAATGTCCTACGAAGTCCAAACCTATTAACAGCTGCATGTGCCATTCTGAAGCCTTCTCCATAGGCAGGTGAGATGTCGTGAGCAATCTGATGCATGAAGAACTCGCCAAGCTTTTTTTCAGTTTCAGATTTTCCAACTTTTTTATATGATGAAGATGAAGTTGAAGAAGAGGAGGCATAATTTGAAGAGGATGCTGCAAAGCTTGGCCCTGACATTGCCTCAGATTCAAGCCACATATGAGAAAGAAGCTGGCAGATGCCTTCCTCCACTTCTGGACTTAGGTTTCGATAGCCTGCATGATTGAAATGGGAAAAAGTTGTCATCTCAGATTGATTTTGGATCACTTTTCAATTTGATTTATTTATTTATTTTATTTTATTTTTTATATATTTTGACTTGAAATAAAATATGTTTGATATATTATAACATGTTCAGTTAAACACTAGAAAATAATTTTTAGATATTTTGAGCCTTTTATAAACAAGTTAATTTGTTCTGAAATATTAAAAATAAAATAGATACAAAATATGCTAAACAAACATGTTTTTAAAATAAAAGCAAATACAAAAATAAAAAAATAAAATATAAATTTATTTCAAACGAGCCTTGGTAACAATTTTTGCAATGCAATATTCTCATAAAATATTGCATGAACAAAGAAAAAAGCAGAAACTTCAAAACTGTCAAACTATGGAAAGATCCAACCAGCTCATAAATTTCAGAGCTTCAACGGATTAGAACTAATTTCATGCTTATGTTTAGACGCAAATAATGGAGGATTAAATTATGGAATTTATAAATAAAGTTAATTTTGTGGAAATAATGGAGGATGGACCACCCTTTCCATGATGGGACTAGGCTGACAAACCAAGGAGTGATGAATAGATTAATTGGAGACAATTTGGGAAACTCCTCGATTAATTTTATTCTCTTCCTATTTCGACAGAAAGTTCTATTTTTTATTGGTTTTTTTGTCTATTATTTTTCTTTGTCCTGTTTTGAGGTTGCTGCCCTAAGAGTTTTTAGAGGGTTATATATATGTATCGAGCCCTAATTGATAGAGGCATGAAGAAAGCGTGGAGAAAGCGTTCTTTATCTTCGGATTGTCTGTGTAAGCAAGCAATATTCTTAATTTGCATTCACATGTCTAACACCTTAAGTGCTTATCTTTCTTTTGAGGAATTTCGTGTTATAAAAAGAAATATTTTGTGCTAATCTGTTTATCTGATAGTACGCAATGAATAAAGCTAAAGAGATCGGATCATCGACAATATGGGAAAGAGATGTCACTATTATATTTTGTAATCTCAATCTGAGGGAGGTCGAGGTGGGAAATAGACCCACCACCTATTTTAATAAAGAAGGGTGATGGCAAAATCTTATGGTTAAATTCAAGAGACTGACTGGAAGGGATTACGATCGGATGAAACTCAAAAACAAGTGAGATCAATTAAAAAAAAGATTTAAAAATATGAAAATAGCTCAAAAGGAATCAACGAGATTGAGCTGGGATCCAGTAAAGCGGACAATTGATGCATCAGATGACAGGTGGGATGAGAAGTTAGAGGTAAATAAATATAAAAAATTAATTCATCTAGCATCAATTTTCACAATGAAATGATTTCACAAATAAATTATTTAATTTATTACAGGCTTGGGACAATAAAATTTTAAAAAAATTAATAGATGTAAAAAATTATTTTAATGGAGAAATCCATGAAGAGGATTTACCTTCTTTCACAGAATTACAACAAATACAAGATTTCTCGAATCCCAAACTTACAAAGGAAAAAAAAATACCTACCTCTCTAAATAATAATAAAATACCTTCATATGCCAAGGTATTACAATATACTTCAAATAAGTCTTCAAAAAATATTACAAAAATAGCCAATGAATGACAACAAGTATCGCAATATAAAGTATGAATTAATTCACAGCTTTATTTTCATACGACTGGAAAATTTTAAGTCATATATGTATATGAAAATACCTATATAAGACTTGTTACAAAATTATATCTGCAGACTATATATATATATATATATATATATTATCCTGAAATACAAGAAAAAATTATTTCATTAAAAGAACTTGGAAGTAGTAGTGAATCGTTCACTCTTAAATACGGACCTGCCGAAGTATTAACCCAGAGATCTAAAACAAAAGATTTATATCAAATATGAATTGAAATAAAAAAAATAGATCCAACTAATATTTAGATTTATCATTTTTCAGAACATTTATTTGTATACAGTCCCTGTAAGCAACCTACGCGTAAAATACATGAAGCTATGTATAAAAAATGTGTAACCATTCCAAAACAAAGATTATGACAGCCAGTCGAGAAGTAAAAGAATTATTGTCTAAAACTACAAAAGGAGAAAATATATAAATGTATGTATTGTTAAAAACGTGATACTCTACAAGGAGTAAGAGATAAGCTAGAGGCAAAAAATAGTGGAATGTAAAGGAGCTAGCTGTGAAGCAAAGAAAAACAAAAGAATTATCAGAAAGGCATCTTACAACACAAGCACTTATTGGAAACAATTAGTCTTCAGCAGCTAAATTATTGAAAAAGCAAATGTGAAGTTGCAAAAGTGAATTATTAAAGAAAACGTCAGTTATGATGACTATCGATAGATTTACGGTTTATATAATGTTTTATTCTCTGTGTTTAGAAGCAGAGAAAAACTTAGCGAGTTCTCTTCTTCTTTCTTCCTCCCTTCTCCTATAATCTAAGTATGTGTGCTAGCCTTGACGGTAAAATAAACTCTTCTCTCTGATATCTGTAAGTATATTATAAAGTATGTAATGTCGGTATGCTTTATTTATATCGTTTGTTTATAATAATATTATGTTATTTTATTTCTATCTATACTGGTTACGCTTAGTGTAGGAAACGAACGAATATTGTGTTTCGCATCTCTAAAGTAATTATATAGGATTGTGGTCTGTTGCTGATCGGTTATTTGATCATTTATTGAGTTTGTATTTTTTGTAGAAAACCATAGAGAACAATATAATATGAACCAAAAATGTTGAAGTCAACCCCCAAAAGAGCGAGAGAAAATAAGATAATATTAAAATAAGTTTATGATAGGAAGCATGATGGACCCTTACGCCTTTACAATATACAATAAACAGAAGAATGGGAAGAACTATTTAGACATGGAAGATAATATGAAAGAATTAACATGAAAGAATTAATGATAGAAATTATAAATCTAAAAAAGAATATTAGAAAAATAGAAGAACAAATAGAAAAAATGAAACTATCTGGAGATAGAATGAATGCCCCTAAAATGCCAGATCCTGACGATCAACAAACTGAAACATGTGAATGTCCTAAACATATTAAATGTCTCTGTATACATTCATGGTCTTATAGATCTAATTGTTCTTCTTATGAAATTCAATTAAAAGAATAAATTGAATTAAAAATGCGTCTATTTTGGGACGAACTTAGTGGCTACATTTGATAAATTTGATGTTGAATAAACTTTATTTAGAACAAGAATTTAATAAAATTTGTCAATTATTAAAAATAAATATAAAGAATAAACAATTATGTCTTTCCAAAAGAGCAAATTTTTTATATCAAATTTCTCCCTTAAGAAATTCAAATGAATGGATTATCATTAGTTATATGATCTTGAAACAGTAATTTAAATTAGAATTATATTCAGAAACTATACTTAATCACAAACTTGTTAATTAATGGAATTAAACCTAAGTCAACTAGAATAAATTAAACTCTTTAAAAATATAATTCAATCCAGATATAAAAAATTGGCACACAGAGAAAGCATTTCTAATATACATGAATTTGGCCTAAAACTAATTCAAAACCAACAAATTCTAAATAATAATATAGAAATAAATATAAAGAATAAACAATTATGTCTTTCCAAAAGAGTAAATTTTTTATATCAAATCTCCCTTCAGAAATTCAAATGAATGGATTATCATTAGTTATATGATCTTGAAAGAGTAATTTAAATTAGAATTATATTCAGAAACTATAATTAATGACAAACTCGTTAATTTATGGAATTAAACCAAAGTCAACTAGAAAAAATTAAACTCTTTAAAAATATAATCCAATCCAGATATAAAAAATTGGCACACAGAGAAAACATTTCTAATATATATGAATTAGGCCTTAAACTAATTCAAAACCAACAAATTCTAAATAGTAATATAGCTACCGCAGTCATTCTGGCTCTTCTGGGGTTTGACCTCAACATCTTTTGTTCATATTATATTTCTCTGTGGTTTTCTGGAGAAAATACAAACTCAATAAATGATCAAACAACAGATCATCAACAGACCAAAATCCTATATAATTACTTCAGAAATGCAAAACACAATTTTCGTTCGCTTCCTACACTAAACATGACCAGTTGAGATAGAAACAAAATAACATAATATTATTATAAACAAATGATAAAAATAAAACATAATGACATTACACGTTTTATAATATACTTACAGACATCGAAGAGAGAAGAGTTTATCTAGTCGTCAAGGCTAGCACACATACTTAGATTACAGGAGAAGGGAGGACGAAAGAAGAAGAGAACTCGCGAAGTGTTTTCTTTGCCTCTAAACACAGAGAAGACAACATTATATAGACTCTAAATGCATCGATAGTCACCATGACTGACATTTCCTTTAATAATTCACTTTTGCAACTTGGCATTTGCTTTTTAAAAAATAAAGATAGTGAAGAATAATTGTTTCCAATAATTGAACTGATGGAGACTAAGTGCTTGTACGGTAAAATTCACTTTGTGATAATTGTTCGGCTTTTGTTTGCTTTACAACTAGCTCCTTTACATTCCACTATTTTTTGTCTCTAACTTGTTTTTTACTCCTTGTAGAGCATTTTTTTCATGTTTTTGACAATACATACATTTATGTATTTTCTCCATTTATAGTTTTAGACAAAATAATTCTTTTATTTCTCGATTGGCTGTCATAGTATTTTTACTGAGAATGTTCACCCATTTTTTGAACATAACTTCATGTATTTTGCACGTAAGTTGCTTACACTGATTGTATACAACTAAATGTTCTGAACAATGATAAACTCAAATATTAGTTGGATCTATCTTCTTTGTTTCAATAGATATTTTATATAAATCTTTTATTTTAGATCTCTGGGTTAATACTTCGGCAGGTCTGTATTTAGGAGTGAATAATTCATTGCTAACTCCAAGTTGTAATAATTAAATAATTCATTCGTGTATTTCAGGATAAGTATGATATAATTTTTATATATATTCC